CTCTGATCGTGAAGATAGATGGGTGACCGGTATGGCATTCTGCAGGGTAAAAGTAGGTCACGTCTTGTCTATGGAGGGAATGTTCGATTGTGATGAGATGTGACAGATGTTTCTGGCTAACTGTGGTTGGAATACTTAATGATGTCAGTGTCTGAGATGGAGTGGGTGGGGGTTCTACTTTCATCCCTTGTGTGTATGCTATGAACCGTAGTGGTTTACGCAGGCTGCTAATCTGCTTCAGACATCACAGAGGAGCTACACGGTGCATGGTTCTAATGGCTTAATAACCTTCTGTGCTTATTGTAAGATTAGTCAGGTCAAGAACAAAGCAACAATTATATTATAACTATTAACCATTTCAGCACACACACCTACTGCTGAACCAGTCTGCTAAAGATAAACAGCCAATCTATATAGTTAACCCACGCACCAGCGTTACGTATACCGCCTGCACACAAGAAAGAAAAGGACGAGTTCAGACTACGTCCCATAGAAATCAAAAGTCACGACGGAAGGGTATGATGGTGTTAGTGCGGTCATTGGCGAACTCTTTACCACAGGGTAAGATTGTATCAAGGGCCGAGGCGAATTATCCTAGGCTGTTGATAACGGCATCATAAGAGTCGACAATGGGTGGAAGGGCTAATGTCTGGGATTTAAGGTACTTGATATCCCGGTAGTTTTGTGTGATAATGGGCATGATCCAAGTTCGCATAGTCATGAAGGTCTGGAACATAGGGTCAAACCGATTGATTTTGCGGGTTTCTTTTCAGAGTTCTCGCGGGGCTGGGTAGTTTTCCCGTGAGCTTGAGGAGGAGGATTGACAGTGGACATGAACCAGCGGCGGAAGCCTGTTAAGCTCGAGACGCTAGACTCAGATTGCTTGGGCGGACGGGTGCAGTCTTCAGGATCTTTCTTGATTTCGGCAAGCTTCGTTCTGACTGCCCTTCTGATCAGTTCCGAGTCGTAGTGTCGGAGAAACAGGACCATTGCAATGTGGCTGTTCTTCCATTCAGCGAGGGCAATCTGGATGGGGAAGTAAGCCAGAAAACTCATCGGGGGTCTGGTGATGTCGAAGAATGATGCGGGTCTATTCGTCCAGTAGTAAATGAGATCATCAAATAGTCCGTCTCGAGGAGGACAAGATGAACTATCTCCCTCGCTGAAAGGGTCGGAGAGCCGATTTCCGTCGTCGGGTAGGACAGCACCGGTGGTGTCTCCGTTGCCACCCTGGAAGGATCGACAGCCAGAGCTTGTAATGGGACGCACTGCACTACTTTCTGGGGTAAGTCGTAAACCACCATTGAGGACTGGAGGGTCAACTAGGATCAGGGCTGTTGCTGTTAGCGTTTTGCATTCAGAAGAGACAGTAGATATATAAGGATAGACATACCAAGCCAACCGCCACTTTGATAACACTCTACCTAGACGGAGTAGCGATGCTGAATGAGCGCATTGAATGTGTTTTCTGGAGTCGAATGTAGAAGCAGGGCATCCCTATCAACATTCATTTGCCTCACATAAATCTCAGATTCAACAGATCCTTCTACACCCTCCAGCGTAATGGCTCGAGGGTAGTGACACGTAAGGAACTTCTGGCATGCATCATCTGCATATTCAAACATCGGATTTCTGGGGCAGCCATTGCGATCAATATGAGCCTTAAAGAACAATGGATTAATATCCAGGGTCGAGCCCAGAATTTCCACGATACCACGCGATATATTCTCAATCAGTACGATTCGGCCATACAGCGAACATGGCTCTGTAATACTTGGTTCTGCAGAGACAAGATCGCGCAACAAGCACTGATGATCAATTTTGCGACAAACAGCTGGACGGTTCAGTTGGGTGAATTCTAGCACTCCCAGTCGACTAGTTTGTTGGTCTGACCGAGGGGTGTTGAGGAAGTCACACAGCGAGTCCAGTGATGATGGATTCCGTTCGTTTTGGTTGATAACGTGGGACTCGTAAGAATGCATGTTAATGATCTTGCTGATGACGATGATGGAACAACTGTTTTCGATCGAGCTGTGAAGATGGCAGAAGGTAGTGTAGTATACTTCCTGATGTGGAGGTCTTGTATGCTCTTACTAGATTGGCAGATGGGAGGGTAGTATTTATGCGTTTAGCATTCAACAACACTCATTGGGCAATGTATATGTTTGCGCACATTTTAACTTTGTTTCGAAGATCTGGTATTCTTTTTTGTCCTTTGGCAGCGACTTCAAGGCATCCTCCTAGAGGACAACATTTAGTTGGTTGACTAGCAACACCATGTCATCTTCAGATCATTATATCGACACCGGATTTCTATATAACTATCGACAAATGCGCAAGGTCCCATATAATGAAAATGACTTATGACTACACTCAGGCTCTTTTATAGGAAAAAGCACGTGTGGGATCAGATTGATATTACCGAACCGGATAATACCAAAAAAATCCCACAACTAAGCGGAAGCTACAATTCGCTACACTTTCCTCAAGAACAGTTCAGTAGACAGGTTAATATTATTAGCTATACCGCATCTCCATTATTAACATAGGAAAATCGCCATTATTCCATTCAGAAATATCCCTGACCCCTGCATTTGCATTGTGATATAGGGAAACCCTTCAGGAAAAAACCTATACCGAGGTCATCCTGAACAGTGCATCCCTCTATCGTCCGGCGACGCTGCGAGGGAACTTGATCGGGACGATCCCAGGCGCGACGTCGAAAGTCGCGCTTCTCGGTGATAGGTTGGTCGTTTACAGACCGAGAGCCTCGAGCTAGATTGCCGAGTCAGATTCGATATCAAAACCGGCACTATGTGATGAAAGGGATACTCACGAGCGAGTCAACAGCATTCAGGATCTCTCCAATGAGACCGGTGCTCTCGGGAGGGTAGTAGGATCTCTTGCTGGAGCTGCCACAGTCGGCAGACTCGAGGTTCTTGGCAGAGTCGATCAGGTTCTGGGCGGCCTGGTACTTGGGGGAGCTGGTGTCGGTGGCCTTGGCGAGACGCTGCTCGTAGCCAGAGAGCTCAGAGCTGACATCGCTGCAGCTCAGGGTGCCGGAAGCGGAGGGGATAGCCAGAGCCGAGGAGGCGAAGAGGGAGAGGAGGGAAACAGAGATGATGGAGAAACGCATGGTGTCGGTTGTAGTGGTAAAGATTAGTTATAAAAACTAAAGTAGAAGTGTTGTTTGTAGAGGATTGGAGAGATAATGCGATTGTGATGCTGGATGGAATACAGACAGATGGGCAGGAATCCAGGGCCCTTTTATGCTGTTCCCAGAGCCCATGGCATCATGGTCTGGATACTTCGGATCACTGAGCTCCTCTCATCCGAACGTGAAGATCCTCGATGGAGCACAATAGCGAGGTCAGTGCTCTGCTCTACTCACGTTGATCCTCAACAGAATCATCACCAAAGCCGTGAGGGACTCTGGCATCAATGCAGCAAAGGACCCATACGGCTCAGTATCGCTGGCCATTGTGAAAAAGAAAATAGCAACTAGACAGGCTAAACCCCAAACTACTGCGTCTAGATCTCATAGTCCAAGCCATTGACATCGTCTATTGGGCGATCCCACACGGACCAAGTAATTAGGTAGACCAGCTCGTGGTAGCAAGACAGCGTGCTCTTCAAAGAGTGGAGATGTTAGGCAGATGAGAAAGGACACTGTCGCTTTAGTTGCATGAACCATTGGATCTGCGCAGGATCCACGGCTCCAGCCGACTGCAAGATCGAGGAATTCACAGGAGCAATCGACACGAGAAGTCGAGGTGGCAGTGATAAGCTTTCAGCCAATTGGAGCCACTCCCGGGTCGGGCTTATAGCTTAGATTATGGCGCCTATACATAGTAGCAATAGTCATTTACGACAGTATTCGCCCTTCAGTTCGAGACCGAGTTAGCAATTGACCAGTAAATGATGATTATTCACCTATAACTGAGTTTAGATATTTCCGCTCAGCAGAATGCTCTAGAAGATTGAAAACCATAGTTATGCATATTGTACCTTATTGTCAGCAGATAGCTGAGAGGGAGGTGGAGAAACTGGCCATCGAGAGGCGTGATAGTTGAGATGACGATCTCGGCTCGGAGTTACTTTTGAGGGTCGATCCCGCCACTCCAGCAACTCCGATCTCCTAGCGAGCATCGCGATTCCGCGCCTGTCATGCTGTCATCCCATTAAGCCACCTCAATTGAATCTCAAAAACAGGGAGCCCGTTGACCGCCGGTTGCCCCCCGGGAATACTGTTGACAATTGTGATTGATTAATCGATGGGCAAATGGCACATCAACCCAACCTCCCGCAGTCTACCATATAGTCAATTGAATTACCGCCCGCCCAGCCGTTTCTCGTTTTTGCCGTTCAACAGGCCGTCCGATGGCTCTCAATAGCCAGCCGTTGCGTTGCCCGACTCCTCGTCCCTCAATCTCTATTTCGCAATCTTCCTTTGAGTCTCCTTCGTTCTTGACGGCCAAGACCAGTCGTGCACTCATACCCAACAAGTGTGGTAAACAGAACAATGCGTTGTGATTATTAGCAATCAATTATGTACAGGTAAAGATCAATTAAGCAGACACATAACCATGATTACATTTACGTTGACCTTATCGTCTATAATGCTCCACTAGGAATCGCGTCGGAAAGGTCAATCAACATCCAGCAGCGCACAAACGACTGCCCGAAGAAGTAGAAAAACATCTAGAATACAGCCTGGAAACAGCCAGTGCAGGATCTCTTGCCTGACGTATCCCCAGGGAGAATTTCACCCACTCCAATACGCCCTCGCTGGGATTAGCTTGGCGCCTTCCCTGCAAAGCAGCGGTGCCATATGCATAAGCTGGTCGCAAAGCAAGGCGACCAGGGTCGTCAGGGTCATTCATTAAATAAATATAAAGTTTTGGGGTGCCGGGTGTGAAGCATCAAGGGTGGAATCCAAGGGCATTGTGTGGTTGGTACTCCGTCGCTAAGCAGTGAGTTTGCCAACATGGGCAGAGGCGTGAGAATAAAAGATAAGTGGGGTTGAGGCATCGTTCGCAAGGGCAGGTTGCGAGCGAGCAACGCACCGAGAGATGCGCTATCGCGCTTCCCTGATTGGATTAGATGAGATCCCATGACTTAAGCCTTGCGGGAGCGGGTAACCGGGCCATTGGCACGACCGGTCGACACAGCAGCTCCGTTGGACTTGTTGCCCTTGGCGTCAGTGTGCGGCGCAGAGACCTCGAACTTGGCCATGTCGATAACAGCCTGCTTGCCAGTGTTGCGGCGGGGACGGCCGGCCTTGGCAGCCTTCTTGTAGGTGGCGACGTAGAAGGAAATGAAAAGGAAGAGGTAAGAGCTGATGACAGCCATGCCGGAGAAAGCGGCAAACTCCTCGCCGGCGCACTTGCCCATGTTGGGAACCCAGGGGAAGTAAGTAGAGGAGAAGTAGGTGTAGGAAGCGAAGTAGATGAAGCCTGCAATCTGGTTAGTTGAAGCGAGGACGGAGCCGGGAATGGTTACGAACCGAGATCGATGACGAACTGAATGATCTGGAGACGGGTGATCCACTCCTTCCACCAGATACGGATACCACGGGCACTCTGGAAGTAGTACCAGTACATGACGACGTGCACCAGAAGGTTGATGTCAATGACAACCCATTGAACCGCAGTCAACCCAATGAGCTGGGTATAGCAGAGAAGCGCGGTAGCGCCGTGGTGATAGGTATGAAGGAAGGTAAGAGGCTTCTTCTTGAGGAACAGGAAGACGGTGTCGATGAGTTCGAGGTACTTGGTCAAGTAGTTGAGCTATTCGCGATATCGTTAGCATACCGAATCCGATCGGAGCAATACTTGTCCAGCGCCGTGAGTACTTACGTAGTACAGAACAATAAGAGGCCGCGTCCATCCACCGTCATGATCACAGATAGCATAGAAGATACCATGTCTCCAGACAGTAGGGAGAAGCTGCTCAATGAAGAGAGCCAAGAGAGTGCCGCTGATCAGGGTGAGGTAAAGGTTGTGGATCATGAAGAGAGTGTTGAGCTTGAAGGCAGGTCTGTTCTTCATGAACTCACGGCCACCAAAGATGATGACATAGTAGGCAACGAGCGCCACGGCGGTTTCCTTGAAAGTAGACATGGGCGTCACGCCTTCTTCGAAGCGAAATTCGCTGGCGGGATAGCCCACGACCAGCTCGAAGGCCTTGTCGAAGATAGGCCATAGGTGAATGCCAAAGGGCCGGTCAATTGACGGCAAAGGCAGACTTTGCAGAACATCCATGGTGAACGGAAATCTCAAGGTATCAAGACGAAGCAATGTATGCGACAGTGCAGTCGAAGAGAAACAACTCCGGAAGAATGACAGTGGAACGCTCCCTTTTTCGCTTTCTCAACTGGTCGCAGGAATGCGGACCGAAACAGCCGAATGAACTGGGGGGGAAGAAGGGAAAAGAAGAAGAAAGGCAGACGAGAAGGAGGATAAAAAGGAAGGAAAGAAGCGAAACAAGCGAGATTGAGGGGGATACAGAGGAAGGAGAAGAGGAGGGAAGAAGCAAAAGAAGCAGAAGGAAAGGTGGAGAGGGTGGAATAAGAGCTGGCCTGCCTTGCAATGGAAGGAGGATCAATCCGCGTGTCTTTTTTTGGGCTTCCCGGCGCGCCCGCAGGGTCCGAATGCGGACTAGTGCAGCCTCGGCCAGCGGTTGAAAAGGGGCATTTTGCTCTAGGGCCCGGCGATCATGTGCCTTCCGGCCTCCGGGTCTCCCAGGCACTGAAATTTGTGTCCGCCGCTACAATCCTTGGCTTAATTGCATTCAGCGTAATTGTCTGTTAATCTTATCCTCAAGCTTAACATTTCCTGCATATCGATGGAGTTACCAGGCACGTTGAGAGGGGTCTGCCCCAGATGTGCCGTTTCAAATTAGATTGGGATGTATCAATTTGGCCACTAATAGTCGGCAGTTCACTGGTTCCGTCAAACATGTTCGACCTTCTGGGGAAATCACAGACCACCTCACTTTCCCGTTCACATGCTTGGTCTGCCTCTCGCTTAGATACATACTGTACATTCTTCATCAGCTTCCCTACAGACATAAGTAGTCAATCAATCTGAGCAGAAAGCGTGATTACGTGCTAGGATAGCCCGTTGCCAAGACATTGAAATATATCGTCTCAATTTCGGGACTTGAACGGGCGCAAGCTTCAATGGTAAATTGAAACTGATAACCAGGGTCCCCAGGGCACTTGCCGCAACCTTCTGAAACCCGATCGATCCAGATTTCCGATGTGTGCAATGCGCATGGTCTTAGATCTTTACAAGGATATCTAAATTCAAGGTAAAACATGTCTGACGCATTCCATTGGTTTTCGAGAAGCCCTGTCAACAAACCGTGACGTTGTACTACTCCGAACTCCGAGTCAAACCAAATATATATAACGGAGACGGCTGGTTCGATTGGTACCATACAGAAGCATCAATACTTGGTAGTAGCAGCAGCAAGTTAGTAGATTACATTGAAGGAAAAGGATTGATTCAAATTTGAGGCTTCGAGGAGATATAAGGATCGCCACATGGGGGTGTAAACTCAAAAGATCGCAGTTGAGGTCCCGGGACGCGGACCACCAGGAGAACCTTCATTTCAAGCGCGAGTCCCTGAATCTGATACCGTGACCTTGTTTGATGACCTGTTTGGTGGTGATTAGTCATGTTTGTCCAAGTCACTCCGAGGCATGGACTGACCGGCCAATCAGAGCCAATAAACAAGGCACATCGACATCCGCCAATCATCAACGGCATATAAAAATCCGGATGGGGGAGAGACCTGAGGCAGCGCATGATAGCATGCCCTTTTCTGCCTGAGGTATCTGTGGACTCGGGCGCGAACGGGAAAGCCGCAAGCCGCAAAAGAGAAGCGGGCGATTATCAATGACGGGCTGACCTGACTACCGGCCTGAGGCAGCAACAACCTCACACCACCCGCAAAATCCTAGCGTAGCCGGCAGAACCTCTGACTTCGAACTTCGTCAACACCTCGCCCGTCCTGATCTCCCCTCACCCACGTCCATTCGTCCACCTCCACAACCCACCCTCCTCTCGCCATGTCGCCCATCTCCGTCTTCCGCGTCGCGACCCGCGCCGTCCGCCCTTCCGGCTTCATCAGAGCTGCTCAATTGCCCCGTCCCCGGGTGCAGGCCCCCGTTGCTCTGGCTATCGCCCGTCCCAGCTTCAGCACCTCCGCTAAGCGCTTCGGCGGTCACCACGAGGACGAGACATACGAGGAGTTCTCTGCCAGGTATGCAATTACCTTCCATGAAGCCATTGGGTTCCGACGCTCCCTGCGTTGCACGATCCCCGAACCCAGGGCTTCCCACCACCAGCCTCCGAGACAATTCACACATCTTTCCTGATGATACAACACCAACCCGCGAGTTTCACCCATATGACTAACTCCAATATTTCGGTAGATTCGAGAAGGAATTCGACGGTGTCCAGGATGTCTTCGAGCTCCAGGTAAGCTAATCTGCCCATGCCGCACGATTCCAATCCGTCCCTATCAATTCCCTCCTCCATATAATCAGCAAAGCTGCCATTGGCAGATAAAACCGGACCGTCCGCACCCCCTTGGCGCCATATCAGACACCATTGCTGACAAGTTACTTTTCTCCCCATCCAGCGTAATCTCAACAACTGCTTCGCCTACGACCTCGTTCCCTCCGTTGAGGTCCTCACCGCTGCTCTGAAGGCTGCTCGTCGCGTCAACGACTACCCCACCGCTGTCCGGATCTTCGAGGGTGCGCTTTCTCTTCCCCCATTCATTACCGTTCCCTCTACATGACACTTGAACTTACGATTTCTCTCTTCTACAAATAGGTGTCAAGGCCAAGGTCGAGACCCAGGAGCAGTACAAGCAATACCTCGAGGCCCTTGAGGGTCTCCGCCAGGAGCTGGGTGTTGCTCTCCGTGAGGAGCTCTACCCCGAGGAGGCGTAAACGGCACGTCCCGACATATATCTCGTCATGTTTCATTTTGCTCCTTCCCCCGTCAATTGTGATAGGAAAGCTGTATACATACTCTAGAGTGCAGTTGGAATCGATTGAAGTCGCTGATCTATTCGGTGGGCCGTCTCTGATTAACGCCATCTGCTTCCGACTTCCTGACTGTCTGGGGGTGGAATGGAGGTGCACGCGTGCTTTTCTATACCAGTGCTACTATAAATTTTGTGAGCATTTATCTGTACTCTGTATTATTGGTGATAGTGCGGAAAATAAGAGGGTGTCATTTTCTTTTCCATTCCACCAATAATCTCAATTTAGATTCCGGAGGGATTAAACTGGGTGGGACAGTCCGGAGCAGTAACTATGAAGACAGTAGCGCTCTGACCAATGTGAGGACAGAAAAGGCGAATCATAACGCTAACCCGTGGGAAACAGCCGCATCTAATCTGATGTATTCAGGAGTCTTTTATTGCGTCGATAGCGTGAAGCAGTATGAGAATCATGAAATATATAGATACAGCCAAGGCCCGCTCCAGCGATCCTCTTCAAGGTAGCATAACACAACGAAGACTATAAATAGTAGGAACAACAAGAAAGGAGGAGTATAGGAAAAAGAAACCAAGCCGTCAAACGCCGCCGAAATTCTGATATTGGATTTTGAATGACTCATGTCATGAAGGTGTATGTTATAGGAGAATGAAATGAGGCCGTGATTGACACTTGCATTGAGGTTTGCGTAGGCAACCTGCAATACTGGACGACACGAGATCTCTATTACCGGGGTGAACCCCCCAGGTTCCGAGGCCGAGATCATAACGCCTATGCGCCAGGGGAACGATACCTGTTCGTTGCACCTGTTGCAGAACCGGTTTCAAGGCCGCGGAGAATATCTGCGCCGCTATTATGCACATATAATTCAAATAAAATGCAGCATTAATTTGTGCCAGCACGTCTAGTGTGTTCCGACATGATGGAAGTAGCTAGGCCGGCAATCCTCCTTAGCCAGCCAAGATTCACCGGCATACATCTTGCCGGGTGTGCAGCCGGAACACTTCGGCGAGTTGGGGCAGTTGTAGTAGGGAATGTGATTGTAGCCAATGTCACGGAACCTGATCAAGACAAACTCGTAAGCAAGATAGCCACCGAAAAAAGTCGGGTCAATTTAACGTACCAATGAACCTTGGCTGCGTCCGCGAAGAGACCAACACCAATCGAATGTACAGGAGCATCGCCCCATCTCTCGTAGAAGAAACCACCAGACCGGTCCAGATGGTCAAAGTAAGCAGAATACTGCTCGCCCCGGAAGAACTCCATGTCTCCGATCTCGAAGTTGGACCAGAAATGGCAGGTAGAATAACCATTTCCTCCTTCGGTGTGCTCCGGGCGGAGTTGGTCATCAGTGAGCCAGTTCATCATGTTGTTGTCCGAAACATAGGAGGGGTTTGCGGCGAGGAACTTCTTGGTCTCGGGCCAAAGAGATGGAATACTCTCCGGAGCGTCGAAAAGATTGATGGTGAAACCGTACGTGATGTTGTAGTCGGCCATGTAACGGAAAACGTCGTAGTCCACATCACAGAAGAACTTGACCTTGGGCTCGACACGCCAGTAGTAACGGTATTTGGCAAGAGCGGGGTGCTTGTAGAACAGGCCACTATTCCAGCGGCACATCTGGTGGTAGGAGACCTTATCACTATACTGGATGTTCTTCTCCTTCAGAATCTGCGCCGACTCTTTGAAGAGATCCCAATTGATCCACTCGGGGACTTCCCAGTGTTCCTTGGGCACCAGCTCTGCAAGGAAAAGTTAGACAATAAATGTCAGTCGGGTTGGATTGGTGTCTAATTACCGTAGTAGCATTTCGCCTTGGTTTCCGCCTGTGTGCGCTTCTTGAATTCCTCAGTGAACGGCACGTCGTTGAAGAAGATCCAGGGGTAGTTGAACTTGCTGTTCCAGGTGCGCTCGAGATCACGCATGGATGGAATCAGCTCGTTAAGCTCCTCGTTGCGGACGAGAGAGATCAGTGCCGCGCTGGCCCGAGGGGAGTCGGTGCTGTCGGGAGAATAGTCGCCATCTGTCGCACGCCATAAGTGGCCTGTCGGTTCTCCAGTTGCTGTGGAAATGAGAAAGTGTGTTAGCAAAGATGATAGAGACGATGCGAAAGAAGACAAGAGAATGACGTTGGGGTGGCGTACGCTCTTTGAGAGGATCTGAAGTTATGCCCTCATACGGCTGTGTTGCGTATGGCCCCTTACTAATGATGGGCGTTTTGTTCATCTGGAAAATCAGGAAGAGGATGAGAATGATGCACGAGGCACCGAGCATGCGAATGGGCCTTGCGACAGCCATCTTGCCTGTCAGCGAATCCCGCAGGAAGAGATGGCAGGAAAAGGAGCGACAGGAGAGCTGGCGAGACCAAGAGGGAGACTTGGGAGTCTACTTGAGTTGCTATCGCCGCCGCCGCGACTCTGGATTCTCTGCCGCCTTCCCCCATCGGGACTAGCGTGACCACATGCCCAAGATGGCAAGTCGTCAGCCATTAGTTGTCTCCGATCTGCCGCCCACGCCGCGTAACCACCTCCTGGCAACCAGCAATAATAATGGAGACATTGGGTGTTCGATCTATCTAGTCCCCTCTCAGTAGTTTCCGCAATTGTCGCTTGCTCCATGGCCTATCATGGCCGTCGCAGCCAATGTGAGCGCGCTGACAGACGAGCTAATTATAGCCGTTGCGAAGTCCGATAGAAAGGCATTGCACTCAAGCCCATAATGTAAAGCAGATCTCATGCTGACGCTCCTGTCCAGGACACTCCACATTTCAGGAATTTAAAACGTCGGACTGAAGACACTTTCAAGTCGCATGCTTATGCGCGCACAGATCAATTCGCCGTCGCCAGCCAACTTGAAGGGCTGCAGGAGAAATTCCAAGTCCTTTGTAGGGATGAGTTGGCTGATGCTTTGCGTATCCGACTAACGGAGCTGCAAGAGCACCAAAGCTCATGGTTCCCCGAAATTCTATCTTTACTGCTGCAGCTGGCAGACCGCCCTGCGCAGCGGTCCAGGGTAGATCAAGTGGTAGCAGCAAAGCCCAGAGAGGAAGCGAAAGCACTTGTCTGGGATGAATTGGACGCCGCTGGATCAGCATATTGTGGCGAGGATATCTGGGAAGATGTAGATTATGGCGCTGACTCCTCTGATGAGGACCTTGCATCAGTGTCCACTGACAGCTACCATACACGCAATCAACCAGAAACGTCTGTCACAACAGAGGAGGACTATATGATCCCTGACGAAGTCTTCACCTCTGGAGAAAATGATGAATTCATTGATTCGATTGCTAAAGCACAATTTTGGAAAGACAAGGAGAGTCCGGTCACTGACAAGGCTGGTCCTGCTTCTCAAGTCATTACCGAGCTTCAGGTAGTAAGGGAGACTATGTTCATGTTGCAAGGTCTCCCTACGTCTCTGTTTTGGCGATTTGATGGTAATATCGAAATAGACCGAAGATTCACCATTGCGGACCTGTCGAATGAGGCATTCCTCTCATTAATGCAATCACTAAGCTCGACAGGAGCGAAAGTGGACGTCCTTAGGCAATTTTGCAACGCGCCACAGGAGATTCCATATATGCAAACGTTTCACCGGGGCCTGGAGAGCTGTCTAAGAAAGTTCGACTTGTTTCTATCTAACGTGCAACACCAGTACCTTGCTCAGGCGTCAATCGTGTCCATTAGTCTTCTGCAGCTCTCTGAAGATGTTTGGCGGGAGTCCAGACTGCCTTTGATGTTATCCGACCTTGTGTCTAGCTTAATGCCTAGCACTTCGAATACTGCTACGCAATGCCTCGACTCACTTTATGATCTCATGTGTCTGACACAAGCTGCTGGCGACGATGGCATATTCGAGACCCTTGCTGAGTTGTTCTTCTCATGCTTCGAAACCTATGCACATCCCATCCGTATGTGGATGGAAAAAGGCCAGTTGGATGACTCCGCAGCTGATTTTTTCATATGCAACAATCAGCACGACAATGACCTGCGAACGCTATGGCATGACTGGTACGCATTGGATAAGGCATCGATGCTCCCGAACTCCCCGAAGTTTATCCAACCTTTTGCACACAAGATCTTCATAACTGGCAAAAGCATGGTTTTTCTGCGACATCTGAATACGACCGAGGACGACGAGAGTCCAAGGAAGGTCTCCTTAACGCTGAAAGAAGTATTACCGCCAGACTCATCCTCGTTCTGCCTCCCATTTTCCGTCCTACTCGAGTCTTCATTCGGAAGATTAGTCGATGAAAATCATGCCCACACTTCGGCTCTGCTAAGGAGAGAGCTTGGCCAGCAATGTGGCTTATGGACGTCACTCCAAGCACTCGAGTATATCTATCTCGGCAAAGATATGAGCATCTTCGGTCCGATTGACAGTAAGATATTCGACCTTATCGATAGAGGAAAAGGCACTTGGAGCGATCGATTCCTGCTCACCGAAGTGGCCCAAAGCACCTTCAGCACTCTGCCATTCATCGATCCTTCCAGACTTATCGTCCGAACACCCAAGGAAGCACACAGCAATGCAGTCAGCCGCAGCCGCTCGGTCAAGGTGCTAGACGCCATTTCATTCGACTACATCCTACCCTGGCCTGTAGCCAATATAATTACAAAGGATACTCTTTTGGGCTACCGGCGAATCTCCACATTCCTCATGCAACTCCGCAGAGCAAAACACACGATAGTAAAACAACGACTGCAGCACAATAATCAATCCGACAAGATTCAAGACTCAAGGAACAACACGCTGAGCTACGCTCTCAGACACAACATGCTCTGGTTCCTGAACGTTGTATACAGTCACATGACGGATTTTGTCATCTCCGCAGCTACGCATTCCCTGGGCAAAGACCTTTCTGCTTCTGCTGACGTGGATGCTATGATAGCGGCGCATCGCTCCTTCATGCACTCCCTGGAAGAACATTGCCTCTTATCCGCCAACTTAAATGCTCTTCACCAGGCTATCATCACCATCCTTGACCTCTGCGTCAGCTTTGCAGACATCCAAAACTCACGCTATGGTGACCATAACCTCGACCCGACGCGCACCGCTACTAAGAGCGCAAAATCTACGCATCGCAAGAATGCACAGTTCTCTGAACCTGACCAGGATGACCCAAGCGATGATGACGATGACGATGACTCCGACGCCGACGAAGACAACCTCGCTGCCTCGTTTCACGAATCGCACTACCTGCAACGACTCCGAGATATCAGAGACCAGTTCAACCGACTCTTAACGTTCATTGTGGCTGGTCTGAGGGGTGTAGGGCGTGTCGATGGCCAACTAAGTTGGGAGATATTGGCCGAGAAGCTCGAATGGAGGAAGGCAAGCGGTCAGCAGCAGAGTCTTGTACTGTAACTTCTTCTTGTGCGGGGGTTTTCTTGGGAAATGGTTTAGGATAGGATAGGTTTATGATACCCGGAAATTGAAACTTCTTGTGTTATTAACTGCAATGATTGTCCAGATTGAATAGATAATTTTACAAATGATACATTCTTCATATTGGCGTACTAGATAATGCTGATGAATTCGATAATCCAATTGAACATGAAGGTTGCCATGTTTTATTTGATCGTAAACTGTAATGCCGAGAGATGGCCATGTAGGGACTTAGTATATACAACAGGACTGGATAATATTGAAAAGCCCCCACTGCAGAAGACTTACGTCCCACGTGATGATTGGAAAAGATCACATTCTGATTCCTATTTCCTATGTAGATAGAGTATTTGCAAGGTAGGCAAAGAGAAATTATTTCACAACATGTCATCGTAAATGCATCAAGTTTAAGAAGGAGAAAAAAATGTTCATAATATAATTTATATCGTAAAAGCCAATAACATGCGCCGCACATTTTCTCGCCAATTATATGGCAGTTGACAAAAGCATCCCCAATTTTGAGATAAGTAACAACGTGACCAAAAAAAGTGAAAAGAGTAACTCGTGTGCTACCCTTTTAACCAACCCATCTTCTGGCGCTGTAGAAGACACGGCCCCAAGGACCAATGTCACCCCACTCCTCAGCCTTGCTAGGCAGGTAGCTGGCAATACCACCCAGAACAGTACGCTCGGGGTGAGGCATGATAGCCAAGACACGACCATCAGCGTTGCGGATACCCGCAATACCCTCGGGACTGCCGTTGGGGTTGGCAGGGTACTTCATGGTCGGCTTGAGGGTGGCAGTGTCGACATACTGGACGACAGCACCGCCGTCGTTGACGAACGATTGAGGGGTGGTGCCGGAAGCGGGAGCGAACGAGGCGCGACCCTCTCCGTGGGCGACGGCGATGGGGAGAGAGGAGCCGTTCATGCCGTGTAGGAAGACACTGGGGCGGGAAGGATTGGGGTCGGAGACGCGGACCATGCAGACACGACCTTCGTACTGTTCGCTGGCGTTCCGCTCGAAGCTGGGCCAGTTCTGAGCGCCAGGGATCAGATCCTTAAGACGGGAAAGGAACTGGCAACCGTTGCAGACACCAAGAGCGAAAGTGTCAGGACGCTGGAAGAAGGACTGGAATTCGTTGCGGGTGTTCTCGTGCAACAGGACGGACTTGGCCCAACCCTGACCGGCACCGAGGACATCACCGTACGAGAAACCACCGCAGGCGGCGAGACCAACGAAGCTGGAGAGGGATACACGGCCAGAGATGATGTCGGTCATATGAACGTCAACAGCAGAGAAGCCAGCGTTGCTGAAAACAAAGGCCATCTCTGCTTGACTGTTGACACCCTGCTCACGGAGGATGGCAACACGGGGCTTGTTGCTGAAGGGAGACATTTGAGTCAGACTAGTCATGAAAGGCATGGCCTTGTCCTTCGGGTCGAAAGTCAAGTTCCAGGACAGACCAGGGTCGGCATCGTCGGCAATGCTGGCAAACTCCTGATCGGCGCAAGCAGCGTTATCACGGATCTTCTGCATGGTGTAGGAGGTGGTGGCCCAGGTTTGCTGGAGGTTGGCGCGGCTGTTGCGGTACACCAGGGTGTGCTTGTGGTAGATGGTAAGGTTCGTCTTCGGCTTCTCGGACACACGTCCAATCTTGTGGATCAGACCAGCAGGAGGACCGCAGGTGGCAAAGCAAGAGCGGAACTGGATTTCGTGCTCCTTGCGGACCTGGAACACGGCTCCCAATTCCTCGGTGAAGAGAGTCTCTACAACATCCTTGGTGCTGGAGCTGGAGCAGATGTTGTCGAGCATGATTTCAACACCGCAGCGTCCAGCGAACATCATCTCCGCAAGAGTGGTGAACAGACCACCGTCGGAGCGGTCGTGGTAGGCCAGAACGATACCGGCG